ACTCACTCCTCTCTCCTCCTCCCTCTCTCCCTCCCCTCCCCCCCCCTCTCTCTCTCTCTCTCTCTCTCCTCTCTCTCTCTCTCTCGCTCTCTCTCTCCTTGGCAGCAGGTCTTCTTAGCATCTATGATATTGGATTTCAAGTAGCCAGTCCGTCTCTGCTGTCTTGTTGAAAGGCGTTGATGATAGCAGCAGCGGCCCGGTTCGAGCCACCGTAGCTGTCATCCGCCAGAGCGGTGCTAGTCAGATCGTTAACGTTACAATCTACAGTGACGGTGGTCTCAACCGGAACGAACAACTGCACGTCAAAGAATACCGACAGTCATAAGTGAGCATGATTCATCATCCCTGTTGATTGCCTTACTATTTTCAAATGTGAAACATTCTCTTTGAAGGGGATATTTCCCTTTCCTTTCTTATGCTATCCTTTCCTTTCCTATCTGCGTTATCTGCCCTCTGCCTTTGAAGGCGATATTCTGCATTTGAAGATCTGAAGCAGGAATGATATATAATAAAAACGTTAATTATCATTGGCACATTTAGCTCCTGCATGGCTCAGCCTGAGCCCGGTGGAAACGCTAAATCTGCAGCCTGGACTGAACAAGGGTGCATTCCTCGCGATGGATCGGGGCTCCACGAACAGGCACCCATGTCCTCGCCTCGGGTTCGACACACGCGCCAGAATCATGCGCGTAAGCCCAACGGTTACCTAAACAGTGCCCGTAAGCCCAACGGTTACCCAAACAGTGCGTGCGTGCCACCTAGTGAAAAAGTTATAATCAGAAGTCAGTGACCCGGCCACACTCGGTACAACTGGATGGCTTAACCAACACAAGGTAGTGTCACCTAGCGGTTGAGCTGAAAGCGACAGTTCAGGCGAGAACCGTCCGATATGAGCGGACACCTCCAAAGATTCTTGGTGATGCGCCTTCAATGCAGGCTGTCGTAGAAGGGTATACATTCCTATAGATAATGGGCACCACTCCTAGCAAACGTTTCGGCACTTGGCAGCTCGTTTTGTCAGAAATTCCAGAGCAATGTCTTCACATTTGGAAGGCATTTAAGCAACGCAATCAGATGTGATTTTTATAAATATCCTCGCTAAAATCTTTGTATTGCATTTGTAGAGTGTTAAGTTAAAACGACTGTTCTAGAGCACAACTTTCTCTTTTTTAGTTAATAAGTCCCTCAATACCACCATTGCTTTGATTGGTGTGTCACGGAGCTTTTGTTATGACAACTGGCCCCGTGCCAATTTGCCACCTTTTGCACCCAGTGCAACACTTTCAATCCCCGGAGAGGTGGACCGTGCCGCCCGTTTTGCCGGAGATTTGTTTTCTGAACCAAGATTATGTCCGTCGGTTTTGGCCCTTCCTAGTGGTGCTCATTGCATATTTTGCCATGACTGTGAGGTTTTTGTCTACTTGGCAATTATATAATTCAGGTTATGGCGGATATTGTAAGTTTTTCGAATGCAAACTCACTCCCAGAAAAGTCCACTAAGGAGTCCAAAAAAGTTTACTTCCGTAAAAGTCACTTTCGTCCAAATTCGGACATTATGAGCGACAAAACTTGCTTCGTGACTGCACACTGCCCAGCCTGCTCAACACCGATTAAGAACCAAGTGACGTCCGTTTTGCCTAACAAGCGTGCTTACGAACGACAGATATAAGCGGCTGGACGATTATATTCTTTTTTTCTTAAACGCCACGTGACCAATGGGGTGGCATGATTTGAATCACGTTTCTATGGCGTCATGCATGCCTGAATGACCTCAAAATAGTCTGTACGAAAAGGCCTGCACATCTTCGCGGGCGAATAGCTCAGAAAGTAACGGACTCGTGTTCGACTCGAGCTGAATCATGACTCGGCTTAAGAGCCAATCGGTTTGGGCTGAGTCGTGAGCTGAGTCAGCTCACTTTAAAAAATATTGCTCAGAATCATAAGCTGAATTAAATTCTTCATAAATTTCATCAGCTGAATCATGAGCCGATCATATGCAACAATGCTGGGTCCCTGAATCATGCGGGTCCAATGTAAATGCCAACATGAGGAAGCACAGCACGCCCCAGACAGATTATCAGACCATTTGCAGGGTGGTTACGTGAAAAGCATGAGACATTAGTTATGAAAGCTTTTTTTGCCAAATCGGCGCGAAGTTTGTTCAGATTCAACAACGCATTGTGTTTGCTACATATAAAGTTCCCCAAATCCCAGCCAGACACCAGGGGACATGGTACAGGTATCCTACATTCCTATGTCCTTTACTAAAATGAGTGAAAGATTGCCTGCTTCGTATGGAATCTGACGGGTGGCTATATTTTTCATGGCCAACTGTCCCGACGATGATACAATCCATGTGCGGATTGTGCTATGTGCGGATAATCATGTGCGGGTTGCATGTCACGGAATGTGACCTCCCACGAATTGCATCAATAACTACATTCACGCAGCACGCAACTTGCAAGCAAGACGTTGGTCCCTAAATTTAGTCGTCTCGGAATGTGGGTAAAGTGGCGCGAAGCACTCTTTTCTCTATGCGATGCCGAAGCCTGTTTTGATTCCCAATTCGCCATAGAGTAACCTGATGGGATAAGCTTAAGGCACCCACCGGAAACGATAGAAGGCACGCACGTTAGCTTAGTTAGTCACACAGCCTCCACTGCGAGATCCAGCGACTGTAGGCGACGGAGCGAAGTGCAGGCCCCGCTGGCCGTCTCACCCTATCGGGTTCACACTAGGAGTGCGACCAGCGCCGCAGAAGTGAAAACTTGAGAATACCGCCATAACTGAGCATGCGAATTCATCAAACGCCTTAAACTCACGGACAAATATGCAAAAACGAGAAAAGCCAAAACGCGAACCCCTAGCGATATTTACTCGAGCAAACACTTCCAGTACCGCCACTGTCAATCTCTCGGCGAGTTGGAGACCTACGAGCGAGTACTAGGGTGATCATTTTGTGCGATAAGTGTGGAAGCACTTGTAGCGTCACACGTATTTTAAACGACGCAATCGAAGAATGACATGTTTAAGACCAAATTTACTAAATCGACGAAAATTGCTGTCTAGAGCGGTCTTTTATGCTTAAAGTATAGCAAGAGTTCAGATGTATGCCTTGATATCTTCAAGTGTGGAACATTACCTTGAAGCTAGGGCTGTTGCTGATTTATGAGACCGGCATTATGGTTACAAAAAGATGATAAGATGATAAAAGACCAATAATGGTAGGTCTGAAGTGCAGTTGTGCTTTGTGTCCTGCGCCCCTGCTGGGGCGGGGGTGCGGCGGGGTCGCGCCGCCGCCGCGGTGGTGGGTGTCGGGTTTGCAGGGCGGCCCCGGCTCGTGGCCCCGGCGGTCGGCAGGGTTCGCGGGCCGCCCCCGCTCGCGGCCCCCGGCGGTCGGCAGGGTTCGCAGGGCGGCCCGGCTCGTGGCCCCGGCGGTCGGCAGGGTTCGCGGGCTGCCCCCGCTCGCGGCCCCCGGCCGTCGGCAGGGTTCGCAGGGCGGCCCCGGGTCATGGCCCCGGCGGTCGGCAGGGTTCGCGGGCCGCCCCCGCTCGCGGCCCCCGGCGGTCGGCAGTCGCCGTACGCAGACAAGGGAGGGTAAAGGCACTTCGGGAAGATGCTGTGGAGCGTGAGGAGCTGCTAAAATACAGAGAAGCTTCGGGTGACATACTTGGCGTTTCATTACATGATAAGAAATTGTTATCTCAATGACAGGTAGAGTACTTTCTGCCAAAAAAGAGCATAGTGACGCGCATTCAGTGCACCCGGGAGCAGACTATTTCGAAAGAGCAGAATACGCGTAAAACGATGGAGCAAAGTACCACTTGGATAATTTCGAAATCATGCGTCAACGAGAGACTTTCAGCCCTCATGGAGCCGGCCTTCTGGTACACATATAACCCGCTCAATAGGCTTCATTTATTAGCAGCTCAGTTTACGTCGATGCGTTTTCTGTGCGTCCACTAAAACCAGCATCAAAACCCGCACTTATGGAAAAAGAGCGAACTCAACGAGCATGATATCCCCTCAGGTATAAGCTACCAATCCAGCAATGCGATTTTTTCACGTTTGTGGTAGAGGAATACGAAAAATGGTCTGTCTGCAGTGGAGTTCGCGACAATGGGACGCGAATATATGACAACGATCACTCCCGCCGCCGCAGCCGTTGTACCATTCTCGTTCACCTCCATTACCGCCTTGTGGATGATGTTGCTGACAAAGATGTTTCGCGACGTGATACCGCCGAACTCCGCCTGCACTTGGAAAATCCTCCGGATACCTAGGTTTTGCATGTGGGCGGGCAGCTCATAGCGACGCTCGATCTTGAAGGGCGGCATCAGTACACGGACTATCCGCTGACTCAGTTGGCTGTATAACCGGGACACGTCCAGACCGTCCAGAGACTTCTGCAGCCTGGCAACGGCAGCCAGCGAGCGACTGTGCGGGCGCAGCACTAACAAACTGTAATCTTTGTTTTGGTACGGCAATGATACTACATCGAAGTGTGGTCGGCTGGTGTAGCCAAGCCCCGCCTTCAACTCCATCATGTTTGTCGGCCGATCGCCGCGCGGTGTCAAAAACGGCTTCTGTCCGCCCTTGTCAAAGCGATAAAGCCAGGTGCCCTTGAAATACACGGCGCTGAAGAGCACCAGTACGGCGTTGCTGACGTGGGCACTTGTCACCAGGTCCTTGATGTGTCCGCGCGTTGCCACCGACGCCTGGTTGTTGATGACCTCAGCGGCCTTCCCGGCGTCTCTTGGTAGCACCTCCACCCCGGCTCCATAGTAGCGAGCTAAAAGGTCGCTGAAAGTGCGGTGCACACTGAAGCTGTGCTTGCGATAGATCCTGTTTTATACTGACGTCGTGACGCCTTTGCTGGCTCCAGACAGGACCGCCAAGGCCGAGCGGTAGCCATGGAGGAACGATGTGTCTTTTGGGCCGGACATTCCCAGCACAGGCGTCATCTGGGTGCAGCACACAAGCAAACGTTGTCATATCTCTCCTCCGCATTTAATCAATAAAGATCACAGTGCGGTGAGTCACGCTGTATGTCCCGCGATAAGTTGACGCACGAGACCAGGTCTGGTGGCATATGCACAGGTTTCGGGCTGGCGCATGTGCCCGGGACTGGTGGCATCTGCACGGGTTCTCGGTTGGCATAAGTGCCAGAAGCTGGTGTTGTCTGCACTGGTTCCGGACTGGCACATGTGCCCGAAACCAGTGTAGATGGTAGGTCTTAATGAAAATCAGCCAACTGGGCTCTCACCTCGGCTCTAGTGGCACCTCTGGCGCCCAGCCAGACCCGCGACATCAGCAGCGACATCAGGAACGGTGAGATCACGTGGTTGGCCACCGGACCCGACGTCACCTCCTTCAGCAGCTTCATGTCCAGGTCAGTGGGCACACAGGCGCCTCCCAGCGTGGCCAGCAGCAGGAGTGGCGCCAGCCAGGCGCCTGAAAAGGCGGGTCATCTCGAGTCTCATAGAAACCCACACAAGTCTCTTTTTTATGGGATCTCGGTAAATTCGCGAAGATTGGCACTACTACCAGTGTATGACGTTCTGGCGTGTTTCATGTAACATCACCTCTCGTCTGATTTGTTGCCGATCACTGTCACAAAGATCCTGAGTGCAAGAGATGCATGAATGCAGTCTCCTTCATGTAGATCAACTCAAATTTTAAGTTTTCTGTAGGCGACGGTCTGTCTATTTCAAGCCTCAAAGTTAAGTCCTTCCCACTTCCCAATTGCTCGAATGTTCCGCACAGTAACATGTATCAACCCAACTTTCAACAGCATTTAAACTCGTAAGTGAAATGCAGCAATAAGAACGACTATTTTCATTTGGTTTTCAACTAGGTTGGGCGTGCGCAAAATCATTTTTATGACAAATGCGTTGAAGGTGGAGTCACGCCCTCTATATTTTTTAGTCCGTTTCCTTTTTTAAGAGCTTTCCGTCTACGCTGCACCAACTGTCCAAAACGCCGGCCTTATGTGGGATCATAAAATGCAAGACAGCAGTAGGGGTATATTAATCACGCCAGGTTTCTTAAACGGTGTTAAAACCAAGGACAAAGTGTATGGCCTACAATATTTCAGGTTTTGTTTCAGTTACTGGAGCTGAACAGTAAGCTGTTCATTGCATTCGCGAGGAACCTCCGCTAAATTCAAGATGAGTAGTATTTCGTGACCACATATTCATTTTATACGTGAATGATTTCAGCAGTCCGAGTGATAGAAACGAGCCAGCTCCAACAGACCCAGCTTATGTTGATCTGTACAATAGGAGTTTATGGCTGATGGTGGTTTGGTATTTATGGAAGATCCAGAAACATCTATTTGCCCGTTACTGACACTCGAGCTCCGCTCGATCGGCGTCAACCAGCTCTCACCTGCATTGCGTCTCATGATGTCCGTGCAGTGTTGAGTGGGAGTAGAACAAACACTGTGACGTCAGATTGTAGTTGACGTCCGGTTTGGTTCACTTTAAGCAATGACGAGACGATGAAGCCAGGATCTGTGGGATGCGAGACGTAACGCAGTGAAACTTGGATGGATGGTGCTAACGCACTGAAACTTGGATCAGTAGCGTGGCTTTTCACCTTAAGTCGACAGGCTACTAACACTCTATCTCTCGAATTTTGACCTAATCTCATCTAAAAGGAAAAATGGTGACACTTTAAGCACGGTCCTACTTTCAGATTTTCCGGTATATCTCGTACAGCTTCTAAGTTGACAATGTTCATCTTCGGCGCTGTGCATGTTGTAGAAGACTGGTATGGTAAAAGAGCTATATATCACTTTAAATTTTGTGGTTTTAGATTATAGCGCAAATTGGTTTTGTATGTTGGATACAACTATTTCGGGACCTACGTTTAGATCGTGTTTGATCAATTCCACGGTAACGCATCATTTCTCAGTTACATTACCATTATTCGTGTATGTCTGTTGAAACACAATTCGGTGCTTTTGGGCTCACGTCACATCAGTGCGGAAAGAACGCGCCTTCCGCGGGACTTTCTGCTTTGCCGCAGAAAGAATACGTGAGTGTTATCTAGCTTTTGCAGTATGATGATTTAAAATGTCTGAATGAGTGTCTGAAAATGTTTCGCAGTGTTACCGCATATACGCCCGTGACATTACATTGTTTGCTTACATTCACATGCTCGGGTATGCAGCTATTCTCAAGTTATTTGATCCCAGTCTTACATCTGTAATAAGTTGCGCCATTGCAGAACTTTCGGCATTATATGGCACAAATTGTAGCTGATGCTCGACACTTGCACTGAACACATTCCATTGGCTGAAGGCTAGAAATCCTGCTGATATGCACAAGACACGAATACCCTAATGATCAAATTTGTCTGGCCTTGAGCACCACATGACCAATGAGTATACCTTGGCACACCTACTGAAGTGTACAATAAGTACACCCCAGTATTTGGAAGCACACGGCGAAATGCTGAGGTGCCAGCATTTGGGTCATGTTCCCATGGTGTATGCATGTGCGGCCTTAAAACAGTGTGCACGAAAGAGTTTGCGCGAAATAGTCTGCACATATTCGTATGCGTCAAACTTAGAAACCAGAGGGTTTCTCAACAAGACCTGGCTCAGAACGGCACTGAATGATCTGAATAATGGACATCTTAGTTCAAAATGCAAGGCAAAACAACGGTCTCGCATTACAAAGAACTTATGCCTTTTTTAATACGCGCTGGGGTCGAGGGCTTGAATTAATCCCCCGAAGGTTTTTCAGAACGGTTTCCGAACTGGGCGGCGCAGCCGCGCCAAATGTTGCATAGCTGTAGACTATTGAATAACGGATCGTTTGACATGATGAGCTTAGGTGTGCCTTGTAATGTTTCTGATCTATGGCAGGTCAAAGTCACTCCATAGTTTTCGGCGGAGGCAATTTCTAGGGAATCGTCCAGACCGGTAAAATAACGGAGTGTTTGACGGAGTCGTACATCTCTGAAATGATTTCTTGGGCACAACGATTATTACATGAGCAAATCGCGTTGACCTAAGGTCAGGTATGAAGGTCAGACCAAGGTCACAATCGATCTGATAAATTACCACAGGGCTTGCTGTATGGGATAGCCTGTGGTGCTCATGTCGAATTTATTGACAGCAGGAACCGCATTATACATTTTCCATTGATTTCTTAGAAGTCAGAAAAGGTCATCACCCTAAGATGATCCGAGTAGACATTTTGTTTTATGAACAGACTGCCTAGCGTAATCTTTGTCGGTTATTCAAACCCAAAGCTTAAAGCAGTCTTGTATAATTTTGGTCGCCATGACCTTCGAGAGGTCAAACAAGGCCACTGACATCAAATGGGCTATTGACCCTCTGCTTATAAACAGTTTTCTAGGTTCCGGGGGCACTTTGGTGACCAACCTGGAATTTGACCTTGTTTGACCTTATATGACCTGAAGGTCATGACCAAGCAAGCTCAAACTTTGGCCTAAGTGAGTTCATGTACAGGTCAAGACACCCTGCGATTTTGGTGTCTCTAACTTTCTTCATACCTGGGATCTCTGGGGCGGTTCCGACTGACCCTCCAGCCAGCCGAGCGAAGGGTATCTAGGCGGCCACCCGGGCGCGTGTGAAAAGGCGCGTGACGCCTTTATTTTTCAATTCTTGTTAAATCAGAGACGAACCATGTGAACATTAGTACCAGTTTTCTCTGAAAACTTCCTCGGAATACCACGACGTTTTTGCTTTCTGCTCACAGAATGTCCATAAAACCATGGATAGCTTCACTTTCATCGAAAGGGAGTTTTTAAAAGACCACGAAAGTGTGCCCCCGGTGAAGTCAATCGTCTTAATTATGAAAAAGCGTGTAGAGGCATTGATATGACGACAGCCTGATACTATGGTTTTCACTTTGTACACATGGTGTTTACTACAATGGTTCTTTTTGAAGCTGTGGGAAATGGAGCATCATATGGTCTATCATGAGGCACTGCTTTAAACTTCCACCATTGTTCTTCTCGGCAAATGACCCTTGCCGTCCGCTGTATCAATGACGTCAGTTCAGTAACAGCTGAGAGCGGCTCCCAGCATATTCCGCCGTCGTCATGACGACGCCTTTCGTGACTGTGGGGATGCAGCGTAGCGCTATTACAAAGCGTTGACATTGTTGATTGAACTCGAAAGTATTTAAAACCTATTACTTTTTGTGTCACAGAGGGATCGTTCCATATTTGTACGGAATTTTAGGCTGAAGTAGTCATCTTGACAAACATTCGGTGCAGTTCATAGCCCTGCCATTTTTAAGAACTACATAGTTTTAGTTTCTAAGCCACACGCCCGCGAAAATTGAGAGAGCATTTCGGGGAAGTATTTCCAGATCAACTTGGCATTCATGACGTCATTATAACGTCATTCACATCCTGCCATTTTGTAAGCCATGAGGCGACCAAGGCCAATGAAAATATTATGGTCGAATCGTTCATATCTGACGCTCGTGAGCCCGATTTCCAGATATAACTGTCGTCAATTGGCTCGCAATCAATGTTGTGTGGGGTACGATGACTCATTCAAACAATGACGCATCAAGGAAAATTTTTACTTAACAGAGAAAATATTTTTTAGAACAGTCTTTTTTACTTAAAAGCTATACCAATAGCTATAAATGACATTATTTCACCATAAATGATGATCATTTCAGCGTCCTCAAATGTCAACACATTTCCTTTCATAGTGCTGCACTGACACCATTCGCTGTTATCATTATACGTAGCTGGTGCCGAGGTTTCAATAGGGTATATTTTTGAAGTACGTCCCAGCGGTGAGACACTCACTTTAGGTTTTTCATTTCCCAGCCTTAGTTTCGTCATATTTTCTACCCGTGTCCAAATTTCTGCATTATGTAGCGCAAAACGTAGCTATTATCCGAAACTTGCACTCGACGCATTAAATTGGTCGAGGGCCAACTTATATCTTATATATCCGTTGATGTCAGTAATCGTTGTGACGTACGCGAGACACTAATAATTCGGTGCGCATGTTTTCCTCGATCTTGATCACTACATGGCAATAAGAAAGCCGTATTCGTGCGTTATGGAGCTCTGAGTGGCCACAAAAATTAGGGTTAAGTTCGCGGGCGTCAAGCCAGAAAACAGGAGGGTTTTAAGTCTCAAAAAGGTATAGCTGTGAACGGCGTTGGATGATCTCTATATTCCGTTAACAGGAAATATTGAACGGCCACATTAAGCTGCTTCTTGTTAAACGAATCATCGATAAATATTAAGAAGTGCGAGGCCGACCTCAAAATCCACTGTATCAATTTGCGACAAGCGGGTAATTTGCATCTGGCGATTTTGCAAAACGAGATCGTGAGACATCTTTATCCACTGTTGGCCAAATAGTTTGCAGGTGACCGGTGACAGTTCGGTCGGAAAAAGCGGGATACGATCTCTGGAATGTTAATCCCCAGCCTAGGAATTACCACTTCATCACATCGCGTCAGCCACATCGGCTTTTCCTTAATTTTTGTCCGCTTTTAAGACCGCTCCCAAACGCGGCATGCTACAAAAACCGACACCAAAACAAGCTGCATTTTTTAGATCGCCTAACAAAGCAAGTATTTAGAAGCGTCTGACGCAACCTTACTCACCCGAAGCGACACTGTTCACCGTCCAATAACACGCAAACTTTGACTGTTAACCCTCGTTGACGCCTCGAGGCATACACTTCGATGCGTCATCCCCGTGACCTGTTGACCCCCTGACCCGTCCGTCACTGGCAACGGTGGGCGTACGGTGACAGGCTGTGGTCTGATTCATGGTCATATGCTCAGGCTGGGCTCGCTGGGCTGGGCGGCTGGGCGGCAGCACTTTTAGCCAAAATAGGTTGCTTTGAGATCGGTACCAGTTTAATGATCTCACTGTTCAATTTCAAGGAATCATTATGGTAATTACACAACTACAATGCATTATTATTAAGACCGGTTAAGTACTGGTTTAATCACTGATAAAGTATTACGTCCTAAACTAATATGTTGGTAGAATGGCATCCTCGATAGTCTAAGAATGCCACTAAATGTGGCAATTTATACATTTTTATGCCTGGGAGATATGACAAACGTGCACTGGCTATGCACGCAACGTATGTATTTTCCTCCGTTTATTGTTCATCACTCTCGCCGAATATTTGCGTCCAGATACCTACCATCCCGAGGTTTGCGTAATCGTCTTGCCTGAATCGCGTCGTGCAGACCCCAATAAGCAAAAACATTTTTTAAGTTCTTGCACTTTTCTCACATTAAAATTTGTAATGACAAGCTGAGTTTGGTGTGCAGTTCAACATGAAATGCTCTCATGTTCATCCCGCTCTTCCAGTCCGACATTACCCATGCATTTAATCTTACAATAATATTAAAGCAAGCTTGTTGGTGCTGGGCCAGACGGTCCAGTGTTTGAGGACGCAGAATAGGGGAGGGGGGGTGCTGAGCAGCGGTAAATGTCTCAGCCCGCTC